ACCAATGGCAGACAGTTTCTCAAGCTCCTCGTTGATGCTTTCCAGCAATTCGGACACTGGGGTCCTTACAGTCCCCAGACATAGGTCAGTATCGACAGTGACGTCAGACCAGTCCTTGGATTTTGGAGGGGGCTGCAAAGAGGGGATGTTCTGTGGCAGGAAAGAAAGGAGAATGTGGTGTCACTTTGGAGGACTCTAAATGGAAATATTGTTTTTTTTTGGTAACATTCGTGCCATGCATGTCCCATCTCTTTCTCTCGTATCACCTGAAGAAAGTGGATGTGGTCCTCATTTGAAGAGAGCTCCTCCAGCCCAGAGATTCTCTTCCTGAGCTCCGTAATTTCCTCCTCCAGCTCTTTAATGAGCCCTTCTGCCTCTCCCTCTACCTCTTTCTGCTTCTCTTCCATGGGCTTGATTATATCGTCCTGGGCTTTCTGCACAGCACAGATCACTGCTTGAAAGACTTCCTTGATGTCCTCAATTTCTTTATTGGTGGATGTCTTGTGTGTTAAAGAAAGAAATATTACAATATATAAACAGATTGCTACTATATTCTGCCTCTGCAGAAGAACAGAGAAACTGCCCAGGTGTTTTCTTTAGACTACTGCATGATCCCACTGGAAAGTATGATGATGAAGCTGTATTTGCAGGGAATTCCCAGTGAGAGATAGCATGCATATACTGCAATTACTGTCAACTACACTAGTGGCAAAAAACTAATGCGGAATTATGTACTCATACAATTCAAGGACAGGGAATTCATATATAAAGGACATAATGTTCACAAGTAGAACATTTCTCTAAAGATCTGGCTTGCTCAGAAAGATAAGGAACCACTGTTCAAAGATTATTCAGTTGGTGGTCATTTGCCCCAACACTGAGCCCTGCAGAACTCCAATCGATAGCCCTTGCTAAAGAACTGGACAGGACTCACTTTGCTGAGATCTATCAGCTCCTTGATTTCGTCCACCTTCTCCTGTCTGTCCTTGATCGTCTGTTCCATCTTTCCTTGTGTAACGCCCAGCTCAGCCTGTGGAGAACCAGTGTGCACAAGAACATTTGCTTTGACTCCTTTTAGGAATGAAACAAGTCAAAATGGATTGTTTATAGAGGCTATCACCTATCGCTCACTGAGTTAACTTTGAAGTTTTGAGGGAGTGCGGACAGCTGGAGTGTAACTTAGCTTATAGTATAACTTGAGGCTGCTCTGGTGACATCACTGCCTAGGTTTACAAGAGCATTCAATCTCCCACACAATCTTCCCCACCCTTTTTATGGCTACAGGTTTTGAAAGTGCACATCGGGCACTTGAAAGTGCACCTCTTCCAGGAGTCTAAACGCGTACACTTTCATAAATCGAGCGTAATGCTGGTAGATTTGCCCCGCCCCTGCTGAGATTCGATCCCAGTTTCTCATGGGCTCTGAGGACACACAGTGCTACTCCCTAGACAGCAGATTACTTCACCACACTCTTGCCACAGCAGAGTTGTATGCTGATATTGCTTCTTTAACTATTTCAGTGCTTGAACTCCATTACATGAGAAAATAACTAGTTCCTTTCACAAGATTACATCTCTCAGTTCGCT